CCCCAAAACCCCAAAACCCCAAAACCCCTTAGTTAATATCTGATCACATACTGATCAAGGACAAAAATAAATAAAATAAATATTCTAAGTAGGTAAATCTATCAGACATTTGAAAGTTTAGTTGAAAACTTATAAAATGAATATGAGTGTTTATTATCTTTAAGATCTTTATTACTGCCATTCAAGTTTGTTTTATTATCATCAGTTGAGTTTTCAGATCATTAGAATATTTTCTTTTTGCATTCGATGACACTGGAAAGGTAAATCAGTAGATCGTATGAAGATTTTTAATCTCTGATCAAGGCCGGTTAGTATACAATTATTATAAGAAAAGTTTTAATCCAAAAATCCGAATGTTCACAGATACTCAATGTTTTCCAAAACTTACTCAATCCCTATTATTTTCAAAGAGATCAGAGTATTAATAATTTTTACAATTAATATGAATAGCAAATTGAATCAACTAGAAATGTAAAGCCAGGCTAACCAAATACAAAAAGATCAGATCTAATAATAATTCATTGAGGAGTAGGAGGATTTAGATAAGATTTATGACAATTATTTCATATCATCTAGAGGTGATAGTAAATCCCCCCAAATTTAATAGCTGAATGGAGACATAGAAAAATAGTTTGAAGATCAGTGGCTATACAGCCTGCTATAGAATCATTTATTGTACCAAAGTCAGACTAAGTCCTCAAATTCTAAAAAACATAATACCACAACCTTTATTTACGAAAGTAATGTTGAAAATTACAGTTCATCATTGAATGAAGGAGATTAAACTAATCCAACTGAAGAGAAGGGAGATATTTTGAAAAATGGAAATAGTGGCTGTTTATAAAATGAATTGAACCTAACCAGATCCAAAGTTTCTGAAAATGATCTTGAGAGAACAATAATTAAGCAGCAATTTCATAAACAGAACAGTAATAATAATAGAAGAATTAAAAAATAATCACACAGAGTTTCGATTAAGTCGAAGGAATAATATCAATATCTGGAATCTCAATTCATTAAGAATCAACGTTGGTCTAATGAAAGGATTCTAGAGATATCATAACAAATAGGATTGTCATTCTCAAAGGTATACAAATGGAACTGGGACAGGAGAATGGCATTAAAATAATATCATGAACAAGGAAAATACTGCGACAGCAGATATATTAAAATATTCGAGGTCGAGAAATGCTCTAAAAACAAGCAAGGAAGTGATTCTAAAGAAATAAGACATTCAAGTGAATATAGAGTCTTTAATATATAAAGAATTTGAATAGGAAATCAATTTCTTCCTACATATAAGTTAGTGAGGTACGCAAGCCAATGACTAGCTCTTCAACTAATATATATATATTTAATTATTCTTTTCTAATGAATTGATTAAACAGTCACATAAAATATACCCAAATAGCATCAAGGGGTTTTGGGGTTTTGGGGTTTTGGGG